GATGCTTATGGTCGCCAGTCCAACCTGCTTATTTTTGACATCATTGATCGTTAATACTTTTCCCCTTCACACCACAACCAACCGTCCGTTCGTTCGTTTGTTTGCCAATCGCCTCACCGTCAACCACCAATCGCAACATGATGAAACCTTTTACCAGCGAATTTCATAGTTCGGCACGAAAATACTATCGTAAATTTTGTTTCTTAGGTAGGTGTCGTCGCCTTCTTACACGTCGCCCGAGTTTGTTCATGTTCGTTCGACCGACCGACCGCTCGTCCACCCACCTGTAGTTAAATCTGTTCATGCGACAATTTTTCCTAGTCGCACATTATCTCTCATACGTAGGCAAACCGTTCGAACCATACACTACCCAAAATAAAGTTCTATCACTCGTCCGTTTAACCAAAGATCGGGAAACCATCATTCATCTGACCGACACACTGAAACTTCATTGTCCAATTTATAAGTTCACCAATTATGAAGGATTATATGTAGCACATGTCGGTCACATTGAAAAGGAACTATCTTGTGTCAAGAGGTTTTATTCATACTTCAAGTGCTCTCAATCAATCGACTCGATAACCAGAACTGACAATACCGACGATCATTATTATCTAATGACATCCAAGGTGGTGGCTTACAAGGTGGAATTGAATTACGTCGATCCATTGAAAGAATACCTGAATGTTGTCATAGACAAGGAAACTGGCGAAACCATGGAAATTTTTGTAGAAATGGGTAAAAAAAAAAAATTTTTTTTTTCATTTTTTTTCATGTGTTTGTCATCACGAAGAAAAAAATTTTTTTTGATTTTTTTTTCTTTCTTTCTTCGCAGACAATGAACTCGATCTGATCGCCGAACCGACTTTCGAAGATGTCATAACCTTGTGGATTGCCGTCTTACTCTGGGGCGTACGAATGATAGTAAATCAAGCGTTATCGTACAAAAAATTCGACTTCAGAGTCACCAAGAATGTGTACAAGATGGTACAATACAATGATATATGAAGTTTACATTGTTTCTTTTTTTTTTTTACCGGGATGAACAATCGCACAGCTTTCAAAAAAAAAAAAAAAAAAAAAGCTAGATCGATCGACGTTAAAGTTGACGTGTTTACTTTCTTTTGTACTTCCTTTTGACCTCGAATACTTGATTGATTGATTGACCTTATCAAGCAGGTCATTTGGCACACGTATATATGGATAATTATTTTTGAAGGCAGCAAAAATGCTAGATATGATTTTTTCGGTCTCTACTTTTAAACAATACATACACAATGTAAATTTTCGGATCACAATTATAGCGACCGAAAAATCCCTGTCCGCCTTC